TTATATAGCTAACAGTTCTTAGTTTAACGAATGTTGACCCAGCATATATATATATAGCTTGAAACTAACAGTGATAAAACTGGTTTTTCGCCTCAAGCCTGTCGTAATCTGTCGATTTTTGTGTCCGGGAACTTCAGGTGCTCCAGTATATACTTTCGTATGATAAAATTATCCAGATGTGAGTTCAATCCAGGAAAACTCCTAAGCACCTTACTGTTCATTTCGCTATCTCTTTTTATTAAGCCACAACCAAAACCGGTCCAGGGGCAAAGAATTTCAAGCGTCCAGTTCTACAGGCAGCACTGTTCGACGCACACTTCTTACCTGGAGTGGTTCTTTCCGTTTGTCTGGTAAAGCTGTTCTACCGCTATGTGCTGGCTCTCACGGAGAAAGAGGGTCTGTTGACTGATGCTGCTAAAAAAGTTGAGACTCGTGAAAATTCTTTTGCGGCCGAATGCATGCTTATCATCGCTAGTATGCTGCACCTGGCCCAAAGCGGTATCCTACAAAATCAGATTAACTCAGATCACGTGGATCGTATGTGGATTTGTCTCAAGGTAGGCATGGTTATGTTGCTTTTAATGTTTGTTTCTAGGTTTTGACTACTCAATAATTAATCAGTAGTGTAAATAGTGAAATACAATGAGTTTTACCAGCCAGCTAAATGATTCGCGTACCATTCCATTTGAATTTCAAACCAGGTCTTGGCCGATCGCCGTATGGAAGTCCTGGAGGCTTTCGATAAAACTTCTCGGACATGTCTTGCCGAATTGGTTACCTATCAGGAAACTGAGCGTAAACAGGCTGCTAAAACCCGAAATCAAAGCCTTGAACAACATCAGCGTGAAGAAGCCCAATTGCATCGGGCGGATGCACCAGTGAAGTTTTCACTCTTGGCTGGTCAGTCCGAACTGGGTGATTTGGAAGATCGGTTTGATTTGACCCTCAGTCAGGCACTTGGTGCCACAGCCAGGGGAGGCGCCGGAGGAGATGCTTACGCGACATCCAAATTGAGCAAGGTAATTCCTAAACCTGATTTTTGAAGTACGTGAGGCAAATCCTATATTTACGGGCACACACCAATCGAAAACGAGAATTATCAACGTAGCATTTGTAATCCGGAGTTTGAATAAGCTAATGATGGTGTTCAGCTGATTTAATTGGTTTTCATTTTGTCTGCCTATCCGCTTTTGCATCAAATATCAAATTAAGATATACCGCCATGCGTATCGAAGAACTTGAAATCTTTTATGGTGCCATCAGCTTCATTGTATTGCATTGGATTGTATCTGGTATTCAGCCTCTTTTCAGTTTCAAGTGTCTAGTTATCCCGAAACCACCTAACTTTCTTCAGGGAAATTTTCGCTACCCTAATTAGCGCATAATTAATTCCATATATTTCTCTATTCCTTTTGCAATGTTACCCGAATCACAGAATTGAGTATATGGTGTCCACCATAATATACAATTGTTTTAGCTGTACTCATCAAAACATCAATATTAACCAATTCAGTGAAAACAAGAATGAACCAGGTCGAACACGGGACAAAATATCGTATTCAAAGGCATTCACGTCTTCTAAAATAAGTGAAGTATCTGTCGCGGGGTATGCTCAATACATTGACTTCTTTCCGATATTCCAAACTGATTGTTCACTGTGCTATCTGTTAACGATTTTCTGGTAAAAGCTGTGCAGCAATAATTCTATAGATATCTGCTTGTTCGTTCGCTTTTGTTGTTGCCAATGTATGTTCAAACCCATCGATGCATTCGTTATGGCCAGTATTGGCAAACCTAAGTGATGGATTAAGTTCAACAAGGGATTCACAAATGCATCACTCAAACAGTCTGGGTCATGTCAGACCCGGTTTATGATGAACTTTGGCCAATGGACTGTCGAATTTCAGGTTTATTCATTCACGCAGGCACGCCCACCCTGCGGCATTTATCGATCGCCTAAATCTGACGTCTTACTCCACACACCTGCTTACCAGGCAGTCGCATGTGTCGTTCACCCGTTTACACGTTATTTCATCAGAACCCATCGATAGACCGAATGGCCGTGGCTTTGGTGACCACTGCAACAAAAATGATCACATCCCAGTGCCCCACAGCGTTGTGGAAAAAACCTTTGTAGATTACAATGATGTATTTTTAGCAATCATAAATCGTCGTTTGTCTCAACCTGGCTCTCCTTTGGAAATCGACAAACGCGCTGTTTAAATCAATTGTACAGTCCTATAATCGACTCGAAATCCGAGCATCAGCCAAGGCGACCAGCTTCAATTGATCCAGCAACTTCTGTGCTTCTCTAATTGAGATAACTTCTGGCACACTCACTGCTTCACATTCATCTTCTTTACGACGATTAGCTTGATTCGAAACGAGTTCATCTAATAAAGACAAAAGAGAGTTGATGCAAAAATCTAGATAATCCAATTCTTCATCGTCAAATTCTAAACAGGCGACTTCTTCAGAAAGGCGTTCATCAAAACACTGAGTGAAGTCTTCAGTCCGATCGCTTTTATCCTTTAGTGGCTGATTCAAAGTGGATTTGAACCCAACTTTTATGAAAGCGTTGTACAGTACGTGCGGTTGCACAGATACCCAAGTTTTCTTGACCAGATGCATGCCCATGAGGATGTACACTTTGGATTTCATGCTAAGTTGTTCAGCTTAAATCAAAGACAAAACATTTTCCAGTGAATGTTTCCGAAACGAATATTCGAAAGACCAAATCATAATCTAATCTACTGGTTGTAAGATTGAAGAGGCAGCCGTACTACTACTACATTGAAGAATACTGTAGCTTTGTTATGGCAGGCGGCCTTATCTGTAAGTAGTAAAATAGAGCGTCTGAAAAAACGTCTTACGGTTGACATCAGAACTGTAAAATAACAGAAGTCATCCAATGTGCCTGTGGGAAAAGCTTTTTATGTCTATACCTGTTGATACGCGATTCGTGCGTACGGCACTTTGCTAGTTTTTGGTCGAAATTACGCACCCCGAGGTCAATATCAATATCAGAAGATGGTCAGAACGTCTCGGATTCTTGTCTTTGGTGGTTCTGTAATGATAAACAATATGTTAACATACGGTATGGTAAACAACAAGGTTGAAATCGAAATGAAACGTACATTCGAAGTATTTTGACCAGCAGTCCAACGAAGAGCACCGATGCATGGTGATCAGAGCAAAACAGTAAGCAAACAAAGATAGCCGGTCGCCAAGACAAAGACGGATTACAGTCAACCAATAGGAAAACAGGAAACAAGGAAGATTATCCGAAAGGAGTTTGACTACCGACAACAGTCAATAGTAACGATGAAAGAATTAAACATGTACAAATGTCACAACACCTCTGTTTTGAACTTTTTGTTGGTTTTCAGCTGTCATCTTTCTTGAGATTCTCCGGCGTTCACAAATTATCCGATAGTGGTTCGATGGGATGCAATGCTCTCAACAGTAACTTCTTAAATACGAAGTGATTCGGTTACGGAGCTCTGAGTTTCACCTGGCTGATTCAGCATTCCCAACATTCTGATCGGTAGGCGCTTGCAAATTTTGAAATCAAGTGGCACTGTCTTCGATTGTTGGCATCGTTGTGTCTTCCTCGCAAAGATTATCAAATCAGTGAACAGTGTCATGCTCACTTCATACTAGGTGAAACGCCATTGGCTGAATGAGACCTTGCAGGTTGTTTGGACAATGGCCGTCCCGAACATCGGTCAACGACCAAGTGAGTAGTATCAGGAACTGCGACATTACATATATATATTTAACATCAGATTGCGAACAACCATGGAGCCAACGCCACAACAATAGTAACATTAACAATCACAGGGTATGATTGGATTGGGATACAAAACAGAGGGAAAAGAAGGCAATATTGCACAGTTAGAAACTACTGTAGCGAGAAGGCGAGCTGGCTGGGAAAAACGTCTATTGATCCAATTCAAAAGCAGTGTATGCGTTCGATCATATACAGTCAATTCTCAACAGCGCGGCGGGATGATTCATGCCTCTTTCTATGGGTCATTCCTTGTTGATTTTGGTCCGCACTTGGCACGTACGTTGCCTCTTCTTCCGCGTGCCATTCCGACTGGTTTAACCCGATCGCGGCGCGAGATGCGTTGATCGACGTTGTGGCATTCGGTGGGTATCTTTCCCGTTAGCTGCGGATTGTCTGTCGGGCTGTAATTGTCGATTCGCTCGTTTGGGGTGGCAGTCAACATTGTCTCGCGAGGCAACTCCCGCCGCTGCGTCTGGTCGGATGAGCCCCATTCTTGATTCGGTCGCTAGCCAGGACTATCTTTCTACCGCGTTCCATCACACTGTGTTATTACGCATACGGTTGGTTTGGGTTTTCCAAAAAGTAGGAAGATATTAAAAATGCGACATAGCAGGAGATTCACTGTATGTGCTTGCCATATCATCTTAATCGTACGAAACTTGAGAATTAAGTCCGGAATCACGTGTATCGGGCTTGAGATTCCGTTTGTAGTTTATTTGTTGCGCTTGATTGCTATCACACTGATTAAAAAGTAAAGAAGGATCATGAAATACTGTTTATCACCAAATGTTTCCACCTAATTTATTGCACCAAATCGATTAGACAGGATTTGCGGTATTTGGTAGGATAGCCTACTCGGGGATACTGTAGCTTCGTTTGCACGAAGTTAATAAAATTGATTTATGTTTTACTCTACTTATAAGTAGCCTAAGCACCTAATGTAAATTTTACTGTGCCTGGACATCGTCGTACACCGAAATGCAGTGAAGCGAACTTCACTGATCGCTGCCAAACTGGAAATGCATACAACGTTAGTGGGAAAATTTAAGGGGGACAGGAATTGGACCTACTTTGAAGAAGGGAGAAGAAGGTAAACCTTCATGGTCAACACAGTGCGCAATCAAACTGCATAGATACCGTTTCAAGCATTCTGGTCTGATAAGAAATGCCAGCTAGAACACCACTGCTGCCGGTTCGCTGCCATATCCTTCAATGTCTCCAACCAACCAGTTGCGGAGTCCCTCGGACGCCAACCTGGAAGGTGTGAAGCATCTACTTTACCTAATGGCTCTGTGCATTTCTTCATACCTCGTCTCCACATCATCTGTTGACCTCCACGTGGCTTCCTCCACCCTGGAGCGGCTACATCGAATAACGTGCGGTTCGGCAGACGATGGCGGGGCATACGTAATACGTGCCCTAGCCAGTGAAATCTACTAATCTGAATTCAGTGTGCTAGCAGATTTATACCTGACAAACTCCCAAACACACGAGGGCTTACCTCCAGGTTACTAACCCATTCGCTCCATCCCACGTGGGCTAAACTATGTAAACACCAGTGGTCGAAAACCTCCAGTCGATGCATATCTACTCGCAAATTCAAGGTCTCACAACCATAAAGCAGAACTGAACGAACGCTAGCACGATATACACGGTTTTTCAACTTCGCGTCTACACCAAAGGTGTTTCAGTCCTGCATATGCTGCACGAGCCTTTGAAATGCGGGCGGTTATCTCCTTTGCTCCGCTTCCGTCATTGGTCACACATCTACCTAAGCACGAAAAGTAATCCACTACAATTAATTCCTGGCTATTTAGTTTCAGAGCGGGAGTAGGCGACACTCAGCCCTGCGACATCACTTTGCACTTTGAAGGTGCAAAGCACATACCGAATTTGGCCACTGCACTTGTTAATCTATCAATAGCACTTTGCGCGTCCACCATAAATTCCAACAGACAGACGACGTCATCGGCGTATTCTAAATCATACAAATTTTTTCCAGCTGTCCATTCAATACCTACGTTTTGGAGGCCGCTTAGTGCGTTCCCCAGTATTTCGTCTACGACAAAATTGAACAGGAACGGCGAGAGAGGGTATCCTTGACGAACGCCGCTGCTGGTGACTAATGGCTTACTTCATAGACCCTTACACGGCCGTAGGTATGCCAGTACAGTGACCTCAGTAAATTAACGTACTTCTGGGGCATTCCTTTTCGAAGGGAGCCCATCAGAGCTTCGTAGTCAACTGAGTCGAAGGCTCGCTTCAGGTCAAGAAACACTGCAATGGTTTGTCGACGGTGGGCGTGACACAACTCTGGGACCTGACGCAACGTAAAAGATTGATCACTACATCCACGTCCAGGCTGGAATCCGACTTGATGTTCATGGATGTTTATCTCTCTTAAAGGAGTCAAACGTCGAAGAATGATCGAGGCTAACACTTTCATGGCGATCGGGATCAAACTTATCCCGCGGTGGTATTCGTTACGAGATCCTTTCTTGAAAATGGGAACGATCAGTGTTTCGCCCCAAGATGAAGGAATGCGTTATTGCGTCTTAATATTGCTCAGTACGGTAGTAATGCAATTTACGAGGTTATCTACTCCCCATCTTGAAGAGAGTGGGATTGAGCTCATCCGTTCCTGCTACCTTTCCTCGTTGCAGAGCTTGAATATCAAACTGAACTTCTGCTTCCGCTGGAGAATCGCACTACTTTGGCGACTTGTGCATATTCCTTCGAATACCTTTCTCCTCTCTGTTCTCCCGTATTCCTCAATAGTGTTTTTATTTCTATATTTTTAAAATGTTCCGCGGTCCATTTATTCCATTTATACTTCTATATCCCACTAGTTCACGGTTTTCCATGCACGATCGTTTGTTCTCTTTTTAACGATTTCCACTGCATGTGAACAGGCACTAATCAATCTCCAGTATGTTCACCAGTTCACCGTTTTATCTTATTCGTACACACGTGCATGTTTACAGGTTCGGCAGTTGACCGGATTTTCGGACCCTGTTTACGCGGAAGCCTATGTGCACGTCAATCAGTTCGACATTATGTTGGATGTGTTGATCGTGAATCAAACTCGAGACACATTACAAAATCTCACCTTGGAGTTATCCACGCTAGGCGATTTGAGGCTGGTCGAGAAACCGAGCCCTTTAACCATCGCCCCTCAGGATTTTGCGAATATCAAGGCCAATATCAAAGTGAGTTAAATTTCATTTTTCTAAACACACGAACACTTGTATGTATGTATGTATGTATGTATGTATGTATGTATGTATGTATGTATGTATGTATGTACGCTCGTACTTGTGAAACGATATTCTCGTACGAAATTCAGTCCGGCATGTGGACAGAAATTTACGTGCCAATTTTCAACGTGGTCTGTCTTTCAATTTTTTCGACACTATCTCCCATCTAATGCCAAATCCTATTTCATTTCTTTTGAGATCAGATCACCAGCTGAGACGTAGTATTTTCTAGTGTTGTATTGTTTTTGTTCATTTTTTCTCTACGCTGTGGTGGTTTTCTAATGGTTTGGTAACGTGTTCTCGAATCGGTTCACCGATGATAAGGTTGTTTGATTCATCAAACCGTTGGGAAATAGGT